CTATCGAGCTATTCCACACTGGAGGTCAAAAATTACCATCGCCAGCAAGGCGGTAGCTCTCGACAATTAAAGATGTCTTATATTAATACTCACCCGTTAAGAGGAAGTCTCAAGTGCCCAGCCCGCTGAAGCTGGCCCGTATGAAGCAGCGTTAGCATCTCAAAGAGACGAAGTGACAAGGAGGGACAGGTGAAAAGCAACAGAAACGAAGACACTCGAACAAGAGGTCGCTTATACGGGACGTCGGCCGCCCGCACGAGAGAGACAGAGAAGGGAAATGTAAGGAACCCTACCTACATAATAACGTAATGCAAGGTATCCTACCTACATAATAACTTAACCCCACAACTGATGCCTGCAGTCAGACACCGCGAGCTCAGCGGTGGGGCGCTCAGGAACAATGCGCGAAATACTATAGGACTTCTGACGAGTACAGATACAGGTCAGAAATCCCCCTTGAGGGTCGAGAAGCATCAGCGATGGTAAGACTGTGAGAATTGATGGTGAAATCGTATGAATTAAAACATCGCAACGATTTGTGCTCCTATTCGGTGTTACTCGAGGCTCAATTTTGCTACTCAACACGGGGCAAAAGATCCTCTATTGTTAACCACTCACAACAATTCACAGTCATCAATTCAGAAAGTCGAATGACATCATCGCTGCTGAAGATTAACGTTAATTTCAATAAAAGTTAAATTCAAATTCCGCAAATAATCGAATCAAATTTCGAATTCCGAATAATCTGATTTTTAATTTTCAAATAATTTCAAATTCCGAAAATTAATAAGCAAAGAAAAACGTGAAATGGCGCATGGGATAAAATTCTTGACTCTGGGATAAAATGAAATAACGTGTAGCTTCTTTATACGTGTATGTACAAAGCCCAACATCACAATCAGTGGGGGCGTAAGGCAAACTCTTGTAATTTACCTTAACAACACGAGTGAATAGACACAAATGTTACCATTATAGCTGCATGGAAAATGAAGTACGAGTCATGCTCGTGAAATTCAAGGGCGAAAATTCAAGGACTTAATAGTGTTTTGAGATCAGCTGAGCCAGAATTACATGAACTCTTATTTAGCATCAGCATATGGCATGAATATAGGAGAAAAATATCAAAATTAAGACCAAGTTGGACAGTTGAGTGAAATTTTATCTTCGTTACGGCCCAGGAGTGAGATTTTATCTTCTTATAACCCGAATTTCATCTCGAAGTTATTGCCCCATATATGATTAAATTATGAAAGAGACATGAAAAAAGCGGACTATAATAATGAATGGAGCGGCGTTCATTCATTCTTCCTCACGTCAATATACAAACATGTACGTGTGTGAAAATATATTCATATCATAATTGCATCATAACAATTAGAAACCATAGTTAGTTGTAAAGCTTCGATGATAATTGAATATTTATGAAATTTCTGAAGGTAATTTACAGACAGGCTTAATTTAAATACAATTGGGTGCTCTAACACTTCCGGCGCGAATACACGGAATTAAAATATTACAATTTAAAATAATCTAAAATTCATTACAAGTTTAGGTTCACGAGTGTCAATTGTTACAAAAATGCATAGCGTGCATAGGCTCATTAATTAAAAAAGCCACTTTAAGAGGACGTGAAAAAGTTCTCTAGTCGAAGTTAAAAATATAAAAGACCAAAAAAAAAAATTTTAAAATTTTTTTTCCACTATAACATAAAAATGCGAGGCATCAACTCGACTCACTCAACGAATTCTGTTTATGAATTTTGCTATCATTAACGAGAATTACATAATAAAGTACATTTACTCGACACTTTAATGCAGAAGTCTCGCGTCGCACAATCAGCCAGGAGTGCACCTTTTGCATGTAATATTCATGGCTTGGCTGTATAGGTAAAGAAAACGGCTCAATAGATATTGATGCTAAATGCAAAATGTTACCTTAATAAATTAATATAATAATAACTTCTAATCTTTGGGCAAAGAACTTAAAAAGAATAGCAGAATTGAGCTGCCAAAACTATAATGACGTCGTTGCAGCAACGTTTCAAAGGCCGTTATACGCATCACTAAAATACGGGACTGCAGAGAATATTGCTGCCCATGCAAAGTAGATTTAAATTTAATTAATTTGGGTATCACAATCAACTTCTAACTAAAATTATCATGCTTGACTCAGTTTGTCATAAAACGAATTTATGATTGATAGCTAAATTTGAATGAATTTTGAAAAACCGTTTACATTTCAAGTATTCTCGGAAAGCAATATAAATTCAAAGATCTGAAATGTAAAAAATTCACACATATAGAAACCATTGATAAAAAAGGTTTTATTTTACATGAATAGCATTACTAAAATCAAACATATTAATAACCGATCTACGTCTTCAGAACGAAGAATTCAGCTCAAAAGCATTCACAACCATAAAAAATCAGATGACATAAATGAATATAACTGAACAACGTTAAAACGTCATACCAGTCGGCTTGGTGGAACGCATAAAATGCATGAAAATCATTTTCAAATAATGGCATAGACGAAGCATTTTATCATAGGTCAAATATAGCCAAATGTTTCGTTAATCAAATGAATGATTTCTATGATAATTATTCCCCTTTCAGTAATTCAAAATAAATCGAAGGCAATTTTCGCAATCACTGTCCACATTAAAAAAATAATTAGAGTCGTTCGCCAATTTTAACAACGGAGCAAACGGCAATAATAATAAAATATTATTGCACATATCTTCACAAATATTGCGAAGACGATGAATAAAATGGCGTCATGAAATTTTCATGTATATTACAACATCCAAAATACAGCTTGTGCAGTACTGAAGCAACAAACTGAACACATTTATTCAGTTTATTTAAATTTAGTATTCAATAGTGGTTTACGAGGAAAGCCGCGATAGAAAATATTATTTAATTTCAAGATATCGGCTCGGTTTGCTGGCCAGAAGATGCTTCGATTTTATTAATATTAGTATTAATTTTCATTACCAGAAAAACGAACCATTGTCATTATAATTTTGGAAAATTAAAACATATTTTAGCTGCAATGAAACTAAATGAAAAAGCAACGGATTAAGACGCCAGCAACAATGCAGACTAGCCGTATTATATATCAGAGCTGCACAGTTTAATAAGAGAAACAAACTTAATTAGCTTCTTGAAAATAGTTGATGTGAATTTTCGACGACATAATAAGTACGATTACCAATCATGCGTAATAATGTACTGAATATCTTCAAGCAATATATTTACACAAAGCAATATTAAGAAGTTCAGATCATTTTATGGTATAATACACTTGAAAGATATTTCATTTGGAACCATACAGATTCTGCAGTAACTGTTTACACTGTAAGAACGCAGTTTAAACTGCAGAAACTGTAAGATTATTAAGGATAATAGATATAGAGAGGACGGTATACGTAGGAATGAGTTTCGTATATAATAGGCATCTTAAGAACTATAACACTTAGGCCTATCGAATTAAAATAGAACAGTTAGTAGCCTATCACAGCTCTAGTTCTGTCGCTAATACACTTAACTAGATAATTACTAGCTGTACATGGTTACATATATGATATTGCATGACATATATGATATTGAAGTGCTTACTTGCAAGCTTTATTACCACATAATGTGATAAACGTGTAACGTGACCACCACATAATGTGATAAACGTGTAACGTGACCACATAAACGTGTAACGTGACCTTCACATTATGTGATTAACGCGTAACGTGACCTTCACATTATGTGATTAACGCGTAACGTGACCTTCACATTATGTGATTAACGCGTAACGTGACCTTCACATTATGTGATAAACGCGTAACGCGACCATCACATAATGTGATAAACGTGTAACGTGACCACATAATGTGATAAACGTGTAACGTGACCACATTATGTGATAAACGCGTAACGTGACCACATTATGTGATAAACGCGTAACGTGACCACATTATGTGATAAACGTGTAACGTGACCTCCACATTATGTGATAAACGTGTAACGTGACCACATTATGTGATTAACGCGTAACGTCACCACATTATGTCATTCACGTGTAAAGTGACCATCACATAATGTGATAAACGTGTAACGTGACCACATTATGTGATAAACGCGGAACGTGACCTTCACATTATGTGATAAACGCGTAACGCGACCATCACATAATGTGATTAACGTGTAACGTGACCACATTATGTGATTAACTACGTAATGCGACAACCACATTACTTGATTAACGTGTAACGTGAACATCAGATAATGTTATTTATTAATGCATAATGAGACAATCGCGTTCATGAGGGCATATTACAAACCTGATCCATGACATGGTCTGAATTATTCATACGGAATGAATTTTTCCTGTGTGACAGCAATGAAGGATTTACAGATGCAAAGTTTAAACAATATCAATATGATGTGGAAAAATAAATGGACTGTGATAACTCGAAATGGAACGAAAATGTAAAAATGCATAGGAATAAATGACTGCAGCATATGGATTCTTTCATTCTGAAATAATTTTCACCAGAAAAATAAGGTAGTGGAAAGTATATACATAGAACAGACACAAAAATATATGTTAGAATACATACACACATAGAGACAAATTTCTTTGATTGGAGACCAATTGTTTAAAACGAAAGCCAGAATCCAAAGTTTTCAAGACACATGGCGTTTGCGGTGATTTTTAAAGGCACTTCAACGTCAAATTATTAGGAACTTCAGCGTGATGTTGCAAAGGCACTTCACAAATAGCATGACGTTGTAGAGGCACTTTACAAATAGCGTGACGTTGTAGAGGCACTGGACAAATAGCGTGACGTTGTCGAGACGCAACACGATCAGCGTGACATAGTTGACCAATAGCGTGAAAGTTCTCACAGGAAAGCATGGCATCTGTGGACACGTTGATGTTTCGCCAACGCAAGCACAAAAATGAAAACTAAATTTTTATCTCGAATAAAATTCTTTGAAGCCCCACTAATTGAATAAAATTCTCTGCGTGAAACTAATAAATGAATATTACATATTGAGAAGTACGAGAAATGCACATCACACGGCGTGCAGGACCGAAAGATTTTATACAATAGAAACTTGTTTACAATTGTAATACAATTTGAATATTAACCATTGATTTTAACGGTAACCGATACCAATTCGAGTTCAATCGATTTTCTGAGAATAATATTTTGGAAAGTGGCGAATTCGAAGTAATTTACGAAAACTTAAATCGCAAATGCGAAGAGAACGAAATATGTTCGATTCTTCAGTAACCATATGAGCAGAAGCGAGGCATCTCAGTCGAGAATTGTCTAACAATTAGTTATTTTATATAAAACAGTAAAGAACAAAATAAAATCCGATCCGGAATTTAAAAAGGCATGAACGAATTTGATGTCTGTGCCCAGCGTGATACAATCAGAATAGATTAACTAACAGCCAAAATAGAAGAGAACTAACAAACAGACGAAGACTCTATACGACGCCGTTACATATTCAAAACATTAAAGTTTTCATGGAGCAAGGAAAATAAGTTATGAATACTAGGTGAAAAAATTACAAATGTTGTTACTGGACCACTCCAACTTTCCGGTCTTTAAGAAGTGCATTTTCATGCACACGTTGAAACTTTGCTTGAGATAAACTGACCCAACGAACTCAACGAATCCAACGAACCAAACGAACTCAACGAATCCAACTAACCAAACGAACTCAACGAACCCAAATAACTCAACGAATCCAACGAACTCGATGAACTCAACGAACCCAACGACCTCAACGAACCCAACGAACTCAACGACCTCAACGAACCCAAAGAACTCAATGAATCCAACGATCTCAATGAACTCGATGAACCCAACGAACCCAACGACCTCAACGAACCCAACGAACTCAAAGAACTCAACGAACCCAACGACCTCAACGAACTTCACTTCATCTCCTTTCTCACCCTCAGCAGCATTCATTATTGTGTGTGTCAAATGGCATTGCAAGAATTATCTAACACTATCAGCAAATTAACAACGAGATTATATTTATTTTCTTAGAATATTGAGTAGGTTAAAGAACCTCCTCGTGGATTTCCTAGGCGTGTTCTTCTCGCTCGTCGAGGAGTCGGAGTCCGTAAGATTTCCTTCGCCGAGGCTCAGCTCGTGGCGCGATAATTTCGTGCGCATTTGATCGTCCAGCAGCTGCTGCATGTCTTGCTGCACGCAGAAAAATGCGTGTGAACATGTGGATCAAGGGTCCATATTGATATATGGGGTCGAGGACAGAAAAATGGGTTGAGGGTAAAAATATACATGTGGATCTGGATCAAGGGTGGACAGAATATATGTGTGGAACAAGGATAGACAGAATATACGGGGTTTGAGGATAAAAATATACGTGTGGTAAAAGGGTGGACAGAATATATGTGTGGAACAACGAGTGGATCAAGGGTAGATATTGATCTATGGGTCGAGGACGGAAATAGGGATTGAGGATAAAAATATACGTGTGGATTGGGATCAAGGGTGGACAGAATATACGTGTGGATGGCGATCAAGCGTGGACAGAATATACGTGTGGATCAAGGGTTGATAGGATATATGGGGTCGAGGACGGAAATAAGGATTGAGGATAAAAATATACGTGTGGATCGGGATCAAGGGTGGACAGAATATACGTGTGGATCAAGGGTTGATAAGTGATATATGGGGTCGAGGACAGAAAAATGGGTTGAGGGTTAAATATACATGGATCAAGGGTGGACAGAATGGTCAAGGAGAAACTGAAATTGTAAACGAATTTATAGGGGTTAGAAGTGAGACACAGTATAAATAAGGGTACACAGTATAAATAAGATAAATTTATTCTAGACCTATGATGCAAATAAATTATTTTTTCAGAAAACTGTCTTCGATTAATTTCAGTATACAAACTGAAAAGGTTAAACTTCAACAAAAGTGATAATAACGCTCACGAGGCTCTTGACGGTGAGCGAAGAATTCAATATATTTCAATTTTTGGTGTATGAGCATAGGTACATCAATTTATATTTATTGTTAAGAAGTATGATGATAAGGATGATTATATATGGTTGATAGAAAACTTAGGAGTCTTGCTATGAAGATGATTGGGCTGGTTAAAATATTTCTAAAAAACTAAGAAGTTTCATGATTAGGACGATGTAGTTGATTAAATGGTTGATATAAAACTATGAAGCCTCACGATTGAGATAATTATATGATTAATAGGAAATTGTTGACAGAAAACTAATAAGCATGATGATTGAGATGATTAAATGTTTAATAGAAAATGGTTGACAGAAAACAAAGGAGCCTGATGACTGAGATAATTAAACGATTAATAGGAAATGGTTGACAGAAAACCATGAAGCCTGACGATTCAGATGATTAAATGATTAATAGATAATTATAAGTATTAATTCATGTAATTAATAAAATGATTAATAAGAAACTATAAGTATTAATTCACGTAGTTATCAGACCTGCCACTGCTCTAGCTGCTGGGACAGCTCCACCTTCTGCGTGATAACCTTACATGATGATTAAAATGATTGAATGATTAATATGAAACTATAATTATTAATTCACGTAGTTAACAGACCTGCCACTGCTCGAGCTGCTGGGACAGCTCCACCTTCTGCGTGATAACCTTACATGATGATTGAAATGATTAAATGATTAATAAGAAACTATAAGAATCAATTCACGTAGTTATCAGACCTGCCACTGCTCGAGCTGCTGGGAGAGCTCCACCTTCTGCGTGATGGCCTCGAGGAGCTGCGAGTTGACGGCCATGAGATCTATGCGCGTCCTCGCGAGCTCGATCTCACACTTGTTCTTGCGGCCCACGGCCTGGTCCCGACTGTCCCATGCCTGTAACATGTTCAGTCACTTATAAGAATGTCCCGTGACTGCAAGATGTTCAGTAATTTATAAGAATGCCCCGTGACCGAAAAATTTTCAATCAGTTACATGACGGCTTAGTCCCGACAGTCCCATGCCTGCAAAATGTTCAGTCATTTATAAGAATGTCTAATAGCTGTGAAATTTTCAAGCAGTTAAATTGCAGCACGGTCCCGACTGTCCCATGCCTGCAAATTTTTCTGTCATTTATATGAATGTCCCATAACTAAAAACTTTTCAATCGGTTAGGTAACAACACGGTCCCGACTGTCCCATGCCTGTAAAATTTTCAGTCATTTATAAGAATGTCCCGTGACTGAAAAATGTTCAGTAATTTATAAGAATGTCCCGTGACTGCAAAATGTTCAGTCATTTATAAGAATGTCCCGTGACCATAAAATGTTCAGTCATTTATAATAATGTCCCATAACGAAAAATTTTTCCACCAGTTACATAGCGGCACGACTCCGACTGTCCCATGCCTGCAAAATGTTGAATGTTTTACCTAACTGGTATGCTGGTTTTCAAAACTCGGTACAACAAAATCAAGCCTAGATGCACACCATGTTTCAGTCTACGCTGCTTAATCATGATAAGAAATTATGGATACAAGGAAATAGAGACGGACCTCTCAATACGACAAATCATTCCAAATCCGTAAATAAGACAGTCAACAGCAGAAAAAAAGCCAACGGCAAATAAAAGCCACTAAAATACACCAAAGCCTACAAACTATGTACAGACAAAAGCTTGCAAACTATAGACAATAGACGGCGAACTACAGACCAAAGCCTGCAACCTGTAAACCAAAGCCTGCAAACTGTATACTAAAGCCTGCAAACTGTATACTAAAGCCTGCAAACTACAGACAACAGACAGCGAACTACAGACAAGAGACAGAGAACTACAGACAACAGACAGTGAACTACAGACAAGAGACAGCGAACTACAGACAACAAACAGCGCACTACAGACAAGAGACATCGAACTAAAGACACCGGGGGCGCACCCGTAGGCCACAAATTTTACTCTTAAATAAGCCCTGGAGCCAACGCCTAGCTTCATTATGCATTAATTACTCAGCCTCAGAACTAGACGCCGCAGACTATGCTTGAACTCCGTAATCCAGACAAGCGACACACTGCCGAAAGATAATAGCGCCGTAGGTCTTCAGCCAATGCTTTAGCATGCTCGCTCATAAGCAGGCAGTTCCCCAACCGGCTGTACCTACTCCGGCTTAACATCTTCTGGCCTAACCTATTCTCGCTGTCCCGGCTCACAGCGCTCTTGCAGCCAATGACTGGCTCTACCAGCACACTTGGACCGCCTTCCTAACTTCTTGCAGCCAATGAGGTTAGGTTAGGTCCGCTCAGGTTTGTTCTGGGTGGAGGAAGGTACGTGCAGCTCGTATAGGTTAGGCCTGAAGAGGTTAGGCCAGATAAGGTTTGGCCAGATGCAGTATGGCCATGTTTACCTTTAGCAAGCTTATTTTGTGGCTGTGGACATCCGGCGCTATGGCTTTGAGCACTTGACTTCATAGGCCGTTAGGGTACGCACATAGTGAAAGCAGGTTGACAGCGTGCTGGTTACCTGCTCAGGCTGGCGCCTGAAACCATAGAATACAGAAGCCTATTCGTACAGGTTTTCACTGTGAACACTTACATTATTATCCTATGTTCATTCTTGTGGCAGGTTGGAGCAGGTTGCCCGCGCGGGCAAACCTGCTTCCACTGTGTGCGTACCCTTATGCACTCTAGCGTTCTTACCTATGGAAAGGAATATGAACTAAGTGTGAAGTTAGGCATAGCTGGCCTCCGACATGCGCCCCCAGACAACAGACAGCGTAGAAGACTAACCCGTTTAACGATCTCGTCCCTGGCGAGGTGTGTGTTCTGCAGGTCTCGCCTGAGGTTGTCACGCTCCTCCTGCAGGGCCGCCTGCTGCGCCTCCTGTACCGTCACCTCGCCTGACAGCTTCTCCGCCTCACACGTCTGCACAGGCGACAAATTCAGCATTAAACACTTTAATCGCTGATAAAACTTTAGATGGGATAAGTTAAGCTATCAGTAATTAATTTAGCAGTTATTGCTTGTATGGATTTTATGGGAGAACGGATAATTAATTTGTTTTAAGTAAGGAATTAAGGAATTTGTTTTAGTTAGGCCGAGTTATCGCTGATAAAACTTTAGATGGAATAAGTTAAGGTCTCAGTAATTACTTCAACAGTTACGGCTTATCAATGCGCAGGCGAACAATTCAACATTAAATACTTTAATCGATGATAAAACTTTAGATGGGATAAGTTAAGGTCTCATTAATTAATTCAACGATTACGGCTTACCAATGCGCAGGCGAACAATTCAACATTTAATACATTATTCGATGATAAAACTTTAGATGGGATAAGTTAAGGTCTCATTAATAATTTTAACAATCACGGCTTACCAGTGCGCAGGCGAACAATTCAAAATTATAAATACTACTTTAATCGCTTATAAAACCTTAGATGGAATGAGTTAAGGTCTCAGTAATTAACTCAACAGTTGCGGCTTACCAATGCGCAGGCGAACAATTCAACATTGTAAATACTTTAATCGCTTACAAAACCGTAGATGGAATGAGTTAAGCTATCAGTAATTAATTCAACAGTTACGGATTACCAATGCGCAGGCGGCACATTCAACATTCAACATTTAATCGCTGATAAAACTTTAGATGGAGTAAGTTAAGCTCTCAGTAATTATTTTAGCAGTCAGTGGTTGCCAAGATTTCATGGGGAAACGGATAATTAATTTGTTTTAAGTAAAGAATTAAAGAATTTGTTTTAGTTAGGCTGAATTAGTTAGCTTTTCAGAAATTATTTTCGAAAGTAAGAGAGCTTTGATTGCCCGAAAGCAGGAATTCGGAATTTATTTTATGAATTTCATATGTTATTAAATGGAAACTACATTGTTCCTTTGGCACGCTTGTACGTTGCTACTACTAAAATATGAATTTAAAGACCAAATTACCTTTTTAGGTTCGTTGAAATTATTAAAGAATTAGAGAAGCTCAATGACAAAAAGTCATCATAAACTGACGCAGTTCATTTTTCAGCACAAAAAATTTGTTTGTGGAAAATAAATTTATGAATTTTTAAATTATTTATTTGTAGAACAAATTTTTCTACACAAAAAATCCTAAAATTTAGCTACAATCGCATACTGCTCACCTTTGCCTTTAGTTTATCCTTGACTTCCTGGAGCTCGAGGCTGAGCTTGTCGACTGCCTCGAGTGCCTTATGGCACTCCTTCTCGAGGAGGCCCTTGGGGTCGTCGGGCCCAGTCTTGCCCCCACAGGCCCCACACTGGCCCTGGGCCTCCCTCAGTAGCCGGGTCCTGACCAGACCCTTGAGTTCCTTCACAGTCCCGCTCAGCAACCCGGGCTGCAGATAAAAACTTCACTTTTTATTGAAGTAAAACTTTAAAACTTTTTATTGAAGTAAAACTATACAACTTTTTATTGAAGTAAAATTTTAAAACATTTTATTGAAGTAAAACTTTAAAACTTTTTATTGAAGTAAAACTTTAAAACTTTTTATATTGAAGTAAAACTTTGAAACTTTTTTTTAAGTAAAATTTTACTTTTAATTTTTATTTGCATTTTACTGAAGCATACAACGCGGACTGAAGTCTGTATAAGCAAATAAAAACATTACCTACTTTTTATTTAAGAAAAATTTTACTTTTACTTTTTACTCGCGTTTGACTGAAATAGACAACACGGACTGAATAACTGAAAACGACCACAGAAAATTTATTAAGTAAATTACAAGAAGTAATTAACTAATTTCCCAATTATTAAATAATTTCCCCGCTTATTATTGATTAATTATTTGAAAGTCAATAACATTTTTAAATAACAAACAGGTTATTAACTAATTGCTCTGCTTCACAGACTTAACCGTCACCAGAATACCACAAATAAAGGGTAGAAAAACCTCTTTTGTTATGAAATAACATAACATTGAATTTGGAATAAGAAACCAAGATGTTTTAGGTTTAATTCGAAAATTTGAATGAAGTCGATACGAATGAATGACAGACGTTCTAAATTAAACCCGAAAATTATAATGAAGAACAGTCATAGTTCTTAACATTAAATAATGCAAGACGTTACATAAATATTTAAAAATTTTCAACAATGGAAGTTTTAATTTTATATTGATGAAAAAACATATTGGCTTGATGTACGAATTGAATGAATGCACGTATTGGATTTATGTGCGAATAGGATGAATGCACGTATTAGATTTATGTGCGAATAGGATGAATGCACGTATTAGATTTATGTTCGAATTTGATGAATGCACGTATTGGATCTATGTATGAATTGGACGGATGCACGTATTGAATTTATGTACGATTTGGATGAATACACGTACTATTGGATTTATGCACGAATTGGATGAATGCAAGTATTGGCTTTATGTACAAATTGGACGAATGAAAGTTTTTAATTTATGTTCGATTTGGATGAATGCACGTATTGGCTTAATGTACGAATTGGATAAATGTCAATATTGGAAGTGACCATTCGACGTACGTTGACGTTGGCAACGCTGAAGTCGTCCGAGGAGTTGGTAGATAGCGACGTTAAAGAGTTACGTCGTTGCCGTAACTGGTCGGCAAGCACCCGTAACTGGCTTACGGCGTCACCCACTTCACCTTTCATCTGCAATAAATATAATTCATTCAACAATTTACATAACAATTAACCAAAGTAAAAAACAAAAAATACAAATTGAATTCAATTAAATTAAAAATTAAAATATTCGAGCTTTTGAGAGGCGACGTTGATTTTATATAACAATTGAACTCCACTGCGATTGGAATATTTATGAGAAAATAATACACTTACTTTGAGATATTTTGAGTAAGAGTAAAGCATCTTGAAATTTACTGAGTTGGTTAGAACGGACCGGCTAGTGATTTTATTTCAAGTTTATTCGTTACTTATAAAATCCCTTCGCGGAATTGACGTTGAAACACCGTTGATTACAAGTTGATGTCGTTGAAACAACGTTTAATCAACGTGATTTCGGCGTCAGATGCCTGATGGGTTTCAACTTACTTTCTTGTAATTTTACTGAGAGTTTATACGTTAATTATTTCATTCTATTCAAATAACGGTGAAACAACATAGATATTGCATTGACTCCGTTAAAACAACGTATAACCAACGTTATTTAAACGTTATTTGCCAGGTGTGTCAAACTGACCCGCTTGAGAACCTCGGCGTCGGAGTGCGGAGTAAGCACAGGATCCTCGCACTCGATGTCCTCCTCCATCTCCAGGAGATCCTGGTGCGAGTGTGGCCGGGACACTGGAGATACAGGCATAATATTGGGACCTGTCTCTTATACACATCTAGATGTGTATAAGAGACAGNACGAGGCACCTACCCTCGTCACGAGGCACCTACCCTCGTCACGAGGCACCTACCCTCGTCACGAGGCACCTACCCTCGTCACGAGGCACCTACCCTCGTCACGAGGCACCTACCCTCGTCACGAGGCACCTACCCTCGTCACGAGGCACCTACCCTCGTCACGAGGCACCTACCCTCGTCACGAGGCACCTACCCTCGTCACGAGGCACCTACCCTCGTCACGAGGCACCTACCCTCGTCACGAGGCACCTACCCTCGTCACGAGGCACCTACCCTCGTCACGAGGCACCTACCCTCGTCACGAGGCACCTACCCTCGTCACGAGGCACCTACCCTCGTCACGAGGCACCTACCCTCGTCACGAGGCACCTACCCTCGTCACGAGGCACCTACCCTCGTCACGAGGCACCTACCCTCGTCACGAGGCACCTACCCTCGTCACGAGGCACCTACCCTCGTCACGAGGCACCTACCCTCGTCACGAGGCACCTACCCTCGTCACGAGGCACCTACACTCGTGACGAGGCACCTACCCTCTTGACGAGGCACCTACCCTCGTTTTCGGACAGCTCCATCTCGTTCATGAGGGACGTGTGCCCCATGGAGGGCGAGGAGGAGGCCCGGCTCACGGCCTCCAGGCGGTCCGACAAACTCAGGTTTGTGTGGCGCATCTCCTCCAGGTCGCGCTCCTTCACGCGCAGCTGGTGCGCGGATAAATAATGGTAAATAATTCATCGTCTATTAAGTCATCGTATAGGCGGTCAGCGTAAATACAGTCATGGTAAAGCCGGTCATCGTTTATTAAGTCATGGTAAAGCCGGCCACCGTATATAAAGTAATAGTATATAAATTCATCGTTTATTAAGTCATCGTAAAGCCGGCCAGCGTAAATAAATTCATGGTAAAGCCGGCCATCGTATGTATATAAAGTAATAGTATATAAATTCATCGTTTATTACTATGTCATGGTAAAGTTGGTCATCGTAAATGAAGTCATGGTTAAGCCGGTCATCGTAAATAAAGTCATAATAAAGCTGGTCATCGTTTATTAAGTCATCGTAAAGCTGGTCATCGTAAATAAAGTCATGGTAAATAATTCATCGTTTATTAGGTCATGGTAAAGCCGGTCATCGTAAATAAAGTCATAATAAAGCTGGTCATCGTTTATTAAGTCATCGTAAAGCCGGCCAGCGTAAATAAAGTCATGGTAAATAAATTCATCGTTTATTAGGTCATAGAATAAGCGGTCATGGTAAACGTTTTCAGTCATGGTTTAGCCTGTCATCGTAAATGCAACGCAAAAGATTACGCATAATGAGATTATTCATCGCGAAAGTATGCCGGTCATCGTAAATGAAGTCATGGTAAATAAATTCATCGTTTATTAAGTCATCGTAAAGCAAGTCAGCGTAATTATAGTCATGGTAAATAATTCATCGTTTATTAAGTCTTGGTAAAGCTGGCCAGCGTAAATAAATTCATGGTAAATAAATCATCCTTTATCAACTCATAGTATAGGCGGCCATGGTGAACGCTGTCATTATAAATGCAGTCTCGAACATCAATAATAATGGAACTTTTGTCCCATAGATATTAATCTTGAGCAGAAGGATGCTCAGTATATTCAGCAATGTGTGACATATATTAGTACCTTCTATAATATATCTTGTTGTAAAATCATATATTTTATCGTAAATTCGTGCGCAGATCACTAGTTGTGATTAATGCCCGCAGTTTAGTGCGGCATTCAATCCATTGTACTAATATTTTCAGTAGGTACATTCTTCAGATTTTCGTAATCACTGTTGTGATTATGAACATTTAGTTCAATTATTATAAGATAAATACTTGGAAAAATCCATACATGTATTCCACGTCCTGTTCCTGTAAGTAGAACTGATCGAGTTTCCTTTTACATGATAGCTCACCTCGATCTGATGTTCCTCCTTCTGCCGCTCCAGTTGCATGATACGATCGGACGACTCGTCGAGTGTCATGCTGAGGCCCTCCCGCTCCACGACCAAGCCCTCCAGACGCCGCTCCAGCTCCAGCTTCTTGTCCGTCAACCGCATGATCTGAGCTCCAAAAATTCATAAATTTGAATTTGAATGAAAATGAAAAATTAATTTAAATTCACAGAAGCAATGGATAAGTAATACTCATCATTTGAATTCACAAATGCAAATGATCGGTACATAGGTACTAACATTTAAGACATTTACTACTAACATTTACTACTTACTAACATTTAAGACATTTTTATGTGGAGAGAAAACTAAGGATTGCAATGCTGGAGCCGGAGTGCAAATGAGAAACAAACAAATTATTATGAGCGTAGGGAAGCATAGTTTATGTATTTTTAGTAGTGTAAAAATTACTATGAGCGTAGGGAAGCATAGTTTATGTATTTTTAGTAGTTTAAAAATTATTATGAGCGTAGGGAAGCATAGTTTATGTATTTTTAGTAGTTTAAAAATTATTATGAGCGTAGGGAAGCATAGTTTATGTATTTTTAGTAGTTTACAAATTATTATGAGCGTAGGGAAGCGTAGTTTATGCATTTTTAGTAGTTAAAAAATTACTATAAGCGTAGGGAAGCGTAGTTTATAACACTATGCATAGTCTTATAGTATTTAACACTATACTAATACATTTATTATGAGCGCAGGGAAGCGTAGTTTATGTATTTTTAGTAGTTTACAATAATTATGAGCGTATTTGACCCACCTCGGTGCGGAGGCTCTCTAAGGTAGTCATGTGGTCTGTCATGCTGGACTGCCGTAAGCTCATCTTTTCCTTGAGCTGCTGGACCTGCGCCGCTAGTAACTCCTCTTGCCGACATGACTGCAAGTACAGTAACAATCAATATTATTAGTTATATATTAATGTAAGTACAGTGACAATCAATATTATTAGATAATTATTAATATAATATAAGTATCATTATTTCGAGAGGCTAGGAAAATATATGCCGCTGAACTTTCATCTCCCGGCATGACTGTAAGTACAGTAACCAGTGATAATCAATTTTATTTGTTATATATTAATGTAAGTACAGTGACAATCAATATAATTAGTTAAATCTTAATATAATATACGCTTCAATATTTCGACAAGCTAGAAAAATATATGCAGCTGAACTTTCATTTGCCGGCATGACTGTAAGTACAGTAACCAGTAACAATCAATTTTATTAGTTAAATCTTAATATCGTATACGTGTAATAATTTCGAAAGGCTAGGAAAATATACCATGCTTAACTTTCATTAAGAAAAACGGCTTCACTGGAATATTATCAGAAGCAATGGGGTAAAAAGTCGAAAAAACGAATTCAATGTTATTCCAATTAACACCATATACTACTGATAGCAGGGAAGTTCATTCAAATTTCAAAACTATTAATAAAGAAACTACTAAATTTCTTGCAATTTTTTTAGGTAACAACAACTTTGCAGAAACATAAACGGAGAATCAAGGTACAATTGAATTGACCAAATTCAATTTAACTTGTTAATGTGATTTTCTCAGGGCAAACTTAACTAAACAGCAATTAAGGTCAAAAATCAGATTGCAAAATGAACTTTAGACAAAGCCATGATGGGAAACATAACAGCGTAACAGAGTTTCTCAATTTTGACAGTTAAAGCGCGCAGCGGATTTTGCAACTCAGACGCGCTACCGAAACTGTCGCGTCATGCTTGCGGTTGGGAGTATCTCAGAGCAGAGTCGCGATTTGGAACAAAATACTCATTTAAAAAGCTCACAGCAACCAAATAGCGCTGTACAAAGGAGGATTAGAATCACTTTCACCGCCGTCATTTGTCAAGCAAACAAGCGCGAACAATCTCGACTTAAGAACAATGGACCAACACATCAGGCTTCCTAATGAAGAATCAGTGCAATTGTTTGTCTACTGATAAACTTAGTAGGAGGTTGGAACACATACACGACTTAGTAGGAGGTTGGAACACATACACGACTTAGTAGGAGGTTGGAACACATACACGACTTAGTAGGAGGTTGGAACACATACACAACTTGTAGGTGGTTGGAACACATACACAACTTGTAGGAGGTTGGAACACATACACAACTTAGTAGGAGGTTGAAACACATACACAACTGGTAGGAGGTTGTAACACAGACACAACTTGTAGGAGGTTGGAACACATACACAACTTGTAGGAGGTTGGAACACTTACACAACTTGTAGGAGGTTGGGAACACATACACAACTTGTAGGAGGTTGGAACACATACACAACTTGTAGGAGGTTGGAACACATACACAACTTAGTAGGAGGTTGGAACACACACACAACTTGTAGGAGGTTGGAACACACACACAACTCGGTAGGAGCCTACGAGCTTGAATTATTGAATATTGAAATAACACGCAGAACGATAATTCATTTATCACTTGACAGTAAACCATACCTATATTTAAATGTAGAACTGATATTTCCTTGCGCGGGATTCTCATATGACATGAATAATGACGAGACTGAAGTCCTTACCAAATTTATAACGTATATTATCATTAAAATTAAGACATGAGATTGTTGAGAGTACAAAATTGAATACCATAACGTATGTATTTTTCTTTTTCATTACTAGATATCAGATAATCTGTTATATACCGATTTTTTTACGACCGCTAAAAATATACTTTAGTATCAACAATACCGAAGCATATTCAACATTAGCTCGCATATACTATTTTTTCAACGAACTTAAAAACCATATCCTGACTTAATGGAGCCTTCTCGATGAAGATGGGATATCACGATTAATATCCTGACTAAATCGTGCCTTCAAAAAAGGTGATCTTCGATTGAAGCAAAAAAGCCGGAAATTAAAAACCATATCCTGACTACATGAGCTTTCACGATGAAGATGGAATATCACGATTAATATCCTGACTAAATCGTGCCTTCGAACAATGAGATCTTCGATTGAAGCAAAAAAGCCGGAAATTATTCACATGCTACACCAGCGTGGGAATTTTCCCACCAGACAAATAGTGCCAGGCTTACTGCATGATCGATCAACGGCGTCGCTCTCGATGTTTTATGAAGTTGTTGCTACGAAACCGAGATGGCAACACGTCGATTACATCATCTTACGCAGTCAAATTATAGTTCAACTGGTAACAAATGTATGATATTTTTTATGTACTCATTCTCGGGCGCCATTATGATTATTTTGGATATTAGTTAACAGAATTGATTAGATGAAATAAATTAACACAACCATTAACTGTTTATTCTCAAATCGGGCCTAAAAATTGGAGATTCAGAAATTACTTGCTATAAAAATCGAAGTTATATTTATATCAAGAGTATTTTACCCTCAATAATTAATTAATTAATTTACTCACTTCCTTGTGTTCAAGTTTTAACTTTTTACATAGCAATCGCGGGAAACTTACTTCTTTAAGTTCGTTGGTGAGGCGTAGGTTCTGCTCAGTGAGTTCTTCTATAATCAGCGAGCGCTCTCTGTCGGTGGCTTTGCCGCTCTCCTTGTAATCCTCCAGCTCCTTCCTGCGAATAAATAATCAAATAAATTCAATGGTACAACACCTTTATAATCAGTCAACGCTTTCCTTGTAACCCTGCAACTCCTTCCTGCAAATAAATAGTCAAATAAATTCATGGAACAACTCCTTTAATCAGTCAACGCTTTTCTTGTAATCCTCCACTCCCTCCCTGCAGATAAATACTCAAATAAATTCACGGAACAACTCCTTTATAATCAGCCAATGTTTCTTTGTAACCCTGTTGCTCTTTCCTTCAAATAAATAATCAAATAAATTCATGGAACAACTCCTCTTTAATCAGTCAACGCTTCCTTGTAATCCTCCAACTCCTTCCTGCAAATAAAAAGTCAAATAAATTCATGGAAAAACTCCTTTATAATCAGACAATGCTATCTTTGTAACCCTCTTGCTCTTTCCTTCAATAAATGGTTAAATAAATTCATCCTCTATAATCAGTCAACGCTTTCCTTGTAATCCTCCAACTCCTGCAAATAAATACTCAGATAAATTCATGGAACAACTCCTTTATAATCAATCAACGCTTTCCTTGTAATCCTCCAACTCCTTCCTGCAAATAAAAATTTAAATAAATTCATGGAACAACTGTTTTATAATCAGTCAACGCTGTTCTTGTAATCCTCCAACTCCTTGTAAATAAATAGTCATATAAATTCATGGAACAACCCCTTTTAATCAGTCAACGCTTTCCTTGTAACCTTCTAACTCCTAACTGTAAAGAAACAGACAAATGAATCCACGGGTAAATCCAGCAACAAATTGCTGTCACAGTATCGTATTTGTGTGCGTCTTGTTAGGCTGCCAAGAAGCAATCATTTAAATCAATATACAAGTCCCATATAATGCAGTGATATTCATAGTGATATTCATAGTGATATTCATAGTGATATTCATAGTGATATTCATAGTGATATTCATAGTGATATTCATAGTGATATTCATTTGAGTGATATTGATATATTGACATGCAGTGATATTCATTTGAGCTGTAATATTCACCGGATATTAAACGCGAATTGCCTTACCGTCGACTTCAATTATTAGGAATAAAATAAAAATGAAGAACAATTAATAATGCATAAAATAATTAACCGATGAAAATACATGTAACCTTATTTACATAAATTCATTTATTCTTTGTTTCAAATCAAATCATAAAATCATAATATTTTTTTATTTTCTCTTCACTCTCAACCAAAGTAAAATAAAACATTCAGTTGCCATTGAGTAAGCTGCAGAGATTAGCCATACTAATCTGATAACTCAATTCTTACCCATCCAACACATACTGCACACTGCCTTACTGGACTTTAAAATTAGCAGATTTTCTTAACATTAAAATCCAATCTTCACGCTGCTCAGGACCGCTATAAGCTACAGTTTCATCACGCAGTATAGAATAGAATAGAATAGAATGGAATAGAATAGAATAGAAGTGTCGGCACTGAAGAAATAGGCCCATGGCCTGTTGCCGATTCTTAAATTTTTCGTGACTTGATTCACAAGGGATCCGGCCTTTGGAACCCGATCTTTCCATAGCTGACGATTGATTGAGATAGCTGCTGGACTTATTGCCTGGGGGATGACTGAGGTGTCAAAGCGTTAATTAGATAAAAGCAGCTACGGTAGTATCATAAAGACAGTAATTCTTCGCAATTGCAGCCGTGCTCGCAAAACAGACTTGTATAAGCACCGCAATAAAAACATTTAATGTTCACTTAACCCTGAAACGTTCTCCTACAAGAAGCCGCAGAATATGGTAATTAGGATCACATGTTTCACGGCCATTACAGCCAGCATAGATTTCTTGCATTCATGTCCATACAAGACGGAAGCTTTTTCTTATATAATTTTTCTAGGTAAAACGCGTAATTGACGGTAATCAATTTCCTTCGACATTCGCATTATTAGTTTCCCGGCTGATTCCATCAAAAATTAATACCTAAAGATTATATATATGAACAATTTTCATGAAAATTTGTTCGGTGTACTAAAAATAAATAAAATTTTGTAGAAGGATTAAAAGTTAATAACTAAATAACGTCCTCAAGTTTATAGAAATATTATTCAATATTATATTTTCCATGTTAGCATTCGTTCGATTCGACTCAAACGACTGGGAGAGAAGTCATTGATGGACAAGCCTGTAGCATTAGTGCCAAGTCATACCTTCAGTGGCTGATAGCTTGCATCCGCATGTCTTGTGATATGAATTTATCCTTATCAAAATTCATGATATTCTTGGGAAAAATAAGTTACTTTAAAAACAAATACATCAAGTAACACGAGATAAAAACAAAAGTACGTATGGATGATCAATACTCGTATTTTATTCAATTAATAATTCTGTATAAGGTTCGTTCTTTTTCTATAACGGAAGATGATCGATTACTTATTATTGTTTCAAACTGCACAAATATTCGAAGCTATAAATTGTAGTGAAACTTTGTAAATGCCAATGTGAAAAATAATAGGTGGATTTCGATCATTCGATTGTGAATAAATAAATTTTTTATTTTTTTTTTAATATATAAAGCACACGGCAGAGCCTCACGCCTGTTGCACACGGCAGGGCCTCACGCCTGTTGCACACGGCAGAGCTTCACGTCTTGCACACGGCAGGGCCTCACGCCTGTTGCACACGGCAGAGCCTCACGCCTGTTGCACACGGCAGAGCCTAACGCCTCATGCACACGGCAGAGCCTCACGCCTGTTGCACACGGCACAGCCTCACGCCTGTTGCACACGGCAGAGCCTCACGCCTGTTGCACACGGCACAGCCTCACGCCTGTTGCACACGTCACAGCCTCACACCTGTTGCACACGGCAGCACCCAACGCCTGTTGCACACGGCATCACCTAACGCCTGTTGCACACGGCAGAGCCTCACGCCTGTTGCACACGGCATCACCTAACGCCTGTTGCACACGGTAGGGCCTCACGCCTGTTGCACACGGCAGGGCCTCACGCCCGTTGCACACGGCAGCGCCTAACGCACACTGTAACGACACGGTAACGCCTCATGCACACGGTAACGCCTCATGCACACGGTAACGACACGGTAACGCCTCATGCACACGGTAACGACACGGTAACGCCTCATGCACACGGTAACGACACGGTAACGCCTCATGCACACGGTAACGACACGTGTGCATTAATCAGGTCATATATGAAACCGTGGCTTCCGCTATTGATATCGAGCAGCGCGGCTTTCACGATACGGCAGATATGGAGGCACGGAGCTATTGTCTTGTACTGAATGGCGGAAAATGAAATCTTTGCGATAACTTCTTCAGATTAGGAACTTCTCACGCAACTTTTCATAGTTTAATAAGTTAGGTTTAATAAGTTTAATAGGTTTAATTAATTAATAGATTTAATAGGTTAGGTTTAAAAGGTCAGCTTTAATAGGTTAGGCTTAATAGGTTACATTTAATAGGTTTAATAAGTTAGTTCATTGCTATATATTACCTACCATTTATTTATATGATTTTTATTATCATTACCATAAATATAATGCATTGCCATTGCATTATATTTTTTACCATTAGAATTATAATGTAAGCGAGAAGCGATTATGTTTTAAGGGTTCCAGTGATCTAAGAAAACGGCTTAATAGTTCTTTATTTAGTTCGTCAACGTTCTATTGTATTAGAATCTTTGACCGAAGTAAGAGAAATAAAACATGAAAACTTTTAGCTGAATTGGGGATAAATACAAAAAGTTATTCAGGAATACAGAAAGTTTCCCTTGCAGAATTTTATTGAAATGGAATTGAAAAATATTAATCTGACCTATAAGCTCATTATGAAAAATTTGTTCGAAAAAATGCATATCATTAACCATCGCTTCAATTCGTCGCCATAAAATACAGTTGGTGAAAAATGAACTCGTGCCGAATAACTTTTTTGTTTGCTGTTTTCTAGCGAATTTTTACAGAAATTTTATTTTAGTACACTATTAATAGCTATATGACTTTATGTGGTTAAATACTGAAAGTTAATCAACTGCAGTAACATGCAGTCCCACTCATCGTATTTTTAAACTGGTTAATCATATAGATTCAATGATTACTGGATAATAAGTACATTTCCTTCTAATGTTTTAAAATATTTTAATCCCCATACATAAACACCCATAAAATTGCAGCAGCGTTAGTTACAAAAGTCCACATGAGACTTAACTTCATTGAATAACTGTCATTTAGAATAGAATAGAATAGAATAGAAGTGTCGGCGTTGATGAAATAGGCCCATGGCCTGTTGCCGATTCTTGTACTTTTCGTGACTTGATTCACAAGGGATCCGGCCTTTGGAACCCGGTCTTTCCATAGCTGACGATTGATTGAGATAGCTGCTGGACTTATTGCCTGGGCCTATATACTTTCAAAAAAAGTTAAGAGATCGTAAGTTCAACAGCCAATCATTGACGGCCTTTCAAGCAAAATCCACCAATCATGGACAAGAAAATAGAGCGTAAGTACTTACGTTCACTTAGCGAGTTTTGAAAGTATTGCCCCTGTCCGTAATTTGCTGGGCATTTTGCTCTATGATCTAGGTATTATGTATTGCAAAATGCATAAACTGAAAATTTATTCTTTTATGTATCGTTATTTTTTAGGGATCCGAGTTCATAACATTCCTACTGCTTCTACTCGATTTAGTGTGGAGAGACACACTCATGGAGTAGCGTCGGTGACAGAGATTGTGTACATACGTAAGCACTAAATGTAATGCATTTAAATGCAATATTTAGTTACAGTTCCACCAGATAAACATGTGAAAAAAATCATGAAGATCTTGAGTGAGGAAGACTAGACGGGTATTCGTGGTCACGTCTTAAGTGTGCAGGGAGAAAAATGCAAGCTCGATCCAAATATTCTCAACGTAAACAACATGACTGCAGAAATTACATTTTCCAAAACGACGAAATTTCAAGGTGAATAAAAGGGCAATTGATGCACTATATTTTGCCAATAAACACTGATCATGTGAGAAATTTCACAGTTTATAATTGATGCAGTATAGTCAAGCTGTGTAATATTGCAGTAAAAACGGAAGAAAAATAATCTGGTTATAGAAACGAGTGTAAAACAAAAATTTTTTTAACGCGAGAGTCGTGAAATTTTTTGAATAACAAAGCTTCCAAAACCAAAAATAGGCCATTTGCTGTAAACGTACTATAATATATGAAAGCCGTAAATAAAATTACATATATATATACATTTTTGTAATTGCTCTCTCCTCTGCCAAGTCAATTTTAAAAACGACCCTAGCTTCAGGGCCCTCCAGGTCAAAGGGACGATGACTGCGCAGGTTTTTGAGAGCCCAACCTGTATTCAACACCGAGCATTCAAGGCATGAGTCACGACCAGCCACACCTGTGAGAGAACCTACACATCTCGCACCTCCATATTTCTGGGTATACGCACCCCTTTTTTACAACACTTCTCTTTAACTTCACTTCTTTTTGTTTGTCTGTTACAAATCATATAATCGATATATAACACACTTCTACTACCCGTCCAATCAATCTAAAATTCTGTACACTTGCGTAAAGTCGGAGACAATGCATGAATCAATTGACAGAATAACTAATTTTAAACATTAAAAACGAATTACATATTAAAAATTAAACAAATTATTTTTTTTTTATTTTTAAAAATAAAGTAAGAAATTCATTGTACACATGTAACATCGGAGACACTGGCCTCTTCAGGAGTGTTGTCTTTGAAAATTAATTTTCAAACGCATATTAAAACAGATTAGCTGCACGATTAATCTCAGAGCAACACAATAAAGTGAGTGTGCATTGAATATTAAAATTATATGCAAGATTTGTGCAAAGAAAATACTAAGTTCCGATTGCGTAAATAAGATGAAAATAGATCTTCGAAGATGTTAGAAAGAGACATGAACGAGTGTGTGAGAAATCATACGAAACGGTTATAGATTTACGAATACATATGAAATGGTAGAATTAAAAATTAGATATTGCGATGAAGTATAAATACGCCGTATTTATTTCACTAGAGCATTATTAGTTTATAGTTGCGTAGAAGTAGAGAAGTGTAGATGGTTGGTTCTGAAATTTAAATGGTTGTAGAATTATGCTAGGTCATTGCCGTTGTAATACGTAGCAAGGAAATAGAAGTATATAGTCGCGTAGTAGTGTAGGTGCGTTAGGTTATTTTCGAATAATCGAATGCTGTACTACGTAGCAAGTAAGTAGAAGTGTATAGTCACGTAGTAGTTTAGGCACTGAAGGTTATTTACGAATAATCGAATGTTGTACTACGTAGCAAGGAAGTAAAAGTACATAGTCGCAGTAGTAGTGTAGGTTAGGTACAGAAGGATATTTACGAATAATCGAAGGTTGTACTACGTAGCAAGGAAGTATATAGAAGTATTTAGTCGCGTAGTAGTGTATAGGTGCAGAAGATTATTTACGAGGAATCGAAGGTTTTATATCGTAGCATTGAAATAGAAGTATATAGTAGCATATAGTAGTATATAGGTGCAGAAAGTTATTTACGAGGAATCGAAGGTTTGCGCGAGGAATCGAAGGTTTAAGCGTAAGGAATCGGTTCGAGGAATCGAAGGTTTACGCGTAATCGGAGCAAGGAAGTAGATTTGTATATATATATATATAGTCGCGTAGTAGTGTAGATGTAGATAATAATAATAATTGAAGGCCACTCACGTGATGATCTGAAGGTCGCTGGTGAGTTCCAGTAGCCGCACCTCGTATTCACCCTCGGTGGAGGCCAGCTTCCGGCGCAACAAGTGCTTGTCTTGCTCCAGTTGCTGTAAGTAAATACAACAATAGTAAAAAAACACATAGTAAAAAACACAATAGACAGTAAACACAAAGTAAACACAACACAATAAGTCAATGCAGTCAATATGATTATAACGTGGGGCTATCATTAACTGTATTGTGTATTGCGATAAGAATATGACATAAAATATGGTGCATTGAGATAAATAATCCGGATTAATTAAATTAATTAATAAATTTTATCTGAAATAGCTCACTTTAGTGATCTAAAACAAATTTGAAGATTAAAAATCTGAGCGTTTCGGTTTGAGTATATCAAATCCAATCACTCCACTGATTAATGGATCGATGAATAAAAATTCTTGAAATTTATAACAATAAGTGTGAAACTGCATTTGGGCTCCAGCGTGAGAAAATAAGGTTCTGCAGCAAAGTTTGAGGAGTGTAAAATCGTACATCGTTAACATTCATTGATAGCTAACAACTCGTTACTTGTCAACAACCATGCATTAACGGTGTAGTCACTGAAAGTTCAGACACTCCTGAAATTCCCGGCAAAGTTCATTCGTTGACCCGCACTCGCCCTTCCGGAGTTGCAATTCAATATTCCGGCGTTGCAATAGCAAAGAAAATATTTTTTGCTGGCCCTGTCACGCTAAAAAAATATTTTCGGTGATACATATTTGATCATTTTACGCATTCTATGACAAATTTAAAAATATTTGGTACATTTAAATTTCAGTTACGCGAAGTTAAAACATAGTTTATTCAAACACTGATATCAACACTGCAATTCACTTGAATTATATCGGTCAGTGAAATCGGTTTGCGTTGAGAACAGTTTTATGTGGTACGCTTGAGTTAGCCCCTGGAAAAGATCGCGGAAGTGCTATTGTGCAATGAGCTGAACCATGATTAGCAGCGTGAATATACTTGTACTAAGAGTTACAATATGTAATACAAAGTTGCATTTTGGAATTAGTCATAAGTTAGAAGTCTAAAGAAATGATAGCTACACTGATTGTCATTATTAAATTATTACAATGCGTAGAAGGATACAGGACATGGGAAATGATCAGGAGGATATTACGTGGGAATGGACGCAAGGATCTGATGTTATATTCTTATATAGTATATATTCTGATGATGTTTATATTCTGATGATGTTATATTCTTTTGGATTATATTATTGCATAAACTGCATAGCAACATATGTATATTTGTGGTCATTCACGAAGAATCTGCATGTGTTATTTTACGTTTCATTTTCTCTTACAATGCTTCATTTTTCAAAATTTTTAATTTTTTCTTTAAAAAAACAGTCATTTCTGATTTTCTGATGATAAATTTGTCAGAATTAGGGCCATCAAAGTTCCTTCCGGAAAATGTTCATGTAATTCGATCGACGAACAATTCACAGGCACCAGAATTAGAACAATCGAACTCTCCATCCTGCATGTCAATTGCATCGATCGAAGATTTCTCTCAATAAATTCTTTGGAAAGTGAAAGGAAATCTTTGAATCTTCTTTAAAAATGTTTGATAACTAAACATTTCCTGCATGCATCTACAACGGCTTCACCCAAAGACGAACTCGTAAATTAAAGATCGTGATGCAATAGCAACCGTTCCTCTATTTTGTGTAGATAACAAATGTGACAAAAAAGCCTCCAGCCAAAGGCATATTCGGTTAATTCTTTAATTTTTTTTCTAATATCGTGTTCAATATATAGTTCACCAGCATCAACCCTTTTTTAAATTTCAACGGGACAGTAAAATTATCTTATTTCACAAATTTAGCAGGAATTTGCACCAATAACGGTATAACTGTCCCCAATTGACTATATTTTGAAACGGACGCTTATTAACAACCCCACTTCGACATAAGTTGACAAGCAATATTAACTGTAATCGAACTTTCCTCAATCCCGCAGTCGGCGCAGTGTTCGAGTTTTCGATCCATTAGAAAATATTCAACAGGAGAAAGGTCAAACATCCCGTGAAATTCATCCAATGAAAGTCTTTATATTCAAACATATTTCATAAATAAGTCCAGAAAGCCGTTTTGGTACCCTGGAAAATTCATCATATGAACGTGTTTCAAACAGGTAATTTTTTTACCGATAAATCCTCCGCGTTGGAGATTCCTTTTTACAGAGATTCCTCCGCGTTGGAGGAATCTGATGAAATTCATCATGTAACATTATATCCATGAACAAGGCAGATCTTGGAGCAGGGAGCAAAATGTAGCGGGTCATGTTTGTGTAAAATCTTCCAGGCAAAAAAATAAGGGGAAATAGAATCAACTTTACGTGACATTTGAGTACACTTCAAGCTGTGTTTGCTGGCGAGGGCTTCTCGAGAGCTTGGCAGCTAGTGTCTGGGTTTTTATTATAGACTCGTCGATTTATATTGAAGTCTTCATTGCATACTAGCTTGAATGATCAATCGTGAATGTGGCTTTTTCGATTGATTCGAAACGATACAGCAAATCCCTTATCCGGAAAGTTGTTAGGCGTCATCATAATTAATAATTTATTACTAATTGGGATTTTGAGAATAAAATTTATTTTAGAGGTGCAATGAGAGTCGAGCTTCAATTGACAAGCTCATCGAAGTTTCTTTCAATTTGAGAATTGCACGTGAATGGTCTGCTCTATAGCATTATCAACAAATAAACTTTAACGAAGAGGCAATAAATCTTAAGTTATAAAACGATACAATGGTACGTATGTTATAAAGGTAAAGCATAAAAAAGTTACATGTGTTACACCCAAACGTTTCTTATAAACAGCTTAGTATGCAATTATGAGCGCTGATGCTGATATACCTACTAATATAATTAATTTTGAGGATTCAAATGTCATGAAAATAAGATTTTTGAGGTAATTCACGAAAGGAAATTCATGAAAGAGAAGGTTTTTTACCCTGCGGGCAAATGACGTTCAAAAACACCTCGATCACGTGTTGATTTCGTTAAACAAACGTGTAATCAATAGTACCGTATTTCAACATTGAATGCCTAGTGGGACGTGAATCACGTATTGATTTCGTAAAACAAGCGAGTAATCAACAGTGTTTCAACAATAAATGCCTAGTGGGACGTCGATCACGTGTTGATTTTGTTAAACAAACGTGTANTGCGACAGGTCTTTGCCCGAAGCCAAGACTTTGGCCACTCGATACGACAGGTCTTTGCCCTAAGCCAAGACTTTGGCCACTCGATACGACAGGTCTTTGCCCTAAGCCAAGACTTTGGCCACTCGATGCGACAGGTCTTTGCCCTAAGCCAAGACATTGGCCACTCGAAGCCAAGACTTTGGCCACTCGAAGTCAAGACTTTGGCCACTCGATACGACAGGTCTTTGCCCTAAGCCAAGACTTTGGCCACCCGATACGACAGGTCTTTGCCCTAAGCCATGACATTCGCCGTAATCACCGCGCAGAACGGCATGCTGGCGGTCCCGTTCTGGGAGATGACGGAGGGACGGTTGACCTTACGGCGTCGGGGCCGCAGCTTCCTTTGTAGCTCACGAGTCGGAAGATGCGCGCATCCCGGTGCTCATGTACGATGCAGGCCACGCAATATAGTTGGAAATAATTTAGTCGTACATGAATTTACGTTATTTGATCGAGTTAGAAGATCGTTGATGCTCACGATAAAAATAGAGCTTTACGTACTAGTGTCTCAGGTGGATTTATTAATTTTTTTCTCAATTTTTCGTAATTTAGTCTTGTGATGGATTGAAAACATATAAATAATAATTTGAGACACAATATAATGAACTTATAATAAACGGCTTAATCGAATATAGCTTGTGTAGTCAAAATCAAGTGGGAAAGTGAGCTATGCATATAAAAATATAACTCAGTACTCACTGCAGTGAGTAAATGAGAGCGCATTTTCTCGTCGACGAAAACTTGACAGACGGACGGACATGACGAGCACAATAGGAAATTTTTTCCGTAAATGAGAAAATGTGCATAAAACGACGTGCACCAGCGATCGCAAGACGCAAGGGCAGCGTCACAGTACAGCGTGCGTGACTAACGATCAAAAGGCTCATTTTTACGCCCTGATCCGTCATGCTAGGTTGAAGAAAATTGCCGCGATTGGCAGAGGAAACTTGATGGTAAACTTGAAGGTAGCGGCGTCAGGTGAGAAACATCTTTACATAACTGCGTTGTGATATTTTCAGCGACACAGTTTTGCCTGAAATTTGTCATCGTGGGAAATATTAAAATTTTAGAGATAAAAATCGCCGTCAATTATTTAGCGAATTACTCGTACTTTATAATATTACGTTTAAATAAATAATTAGAAAATAATTTTGGAATTTTCATTCTAGAAAAGCATTTCGAGAAGTTTTTATATACATTTCTTCGTCCATGCAGCTCTTAAGTCAACGATGAAATATATATAATCTGTTTATTAGCTTAAGATAGTTCAAGTAACAAACAAATGCGCACAAACTAATGATTCGGTCCTATTAAAGTTTGTAAATTTTTATTCGGTCCTTCGGTGATTTTAAGCCTTTCACAAATTGTTAAATTGTTCCGCAGAATTTTCACAGATTTTACTAGATTTTTTTACGCAGAATTTTACAAGTAATGAAATGAAGTCCCAATAGTAAGTAATTATAGGGTTTTTTACATGAAACCATTGTTTGAATTCATTTCACCTAATGTATCTGTGCATAAAAATACATGTTTATAGTCCAGGGGCCATACTTTCAAAACTCGCTAAGTGAACGTAAGTACTTATAAGCTCTATTATCTTGTCTATGATTGGTGGATTGTGCTTGAAAGACCGTCATTGATTGGCTGATGAACTTACGATCACTTAACTTTTTAGCGCATTTTCTCATTTATGGAAAAAATGCACTATTGTGCTCGCCATGTCCGTCTGTCCGTCTGTCCGTGATCTCAAGTTTTTGTCGACGAGAAAATGCGCTCTCTGTCACTCACTGCAGTGAGTACTGAGTTATATTTTTTTGAAAGTATAGGCCCAGGAATGCATATTTAT